TGTGTGTGTGTGTGTGTGAGACAGAAATTAGCCGACTTAAGAAAGGTGCTAATACTCAGAACCGACTGGGTCATATGCCCTGGTGTTCAGTGTGAAATGCATCATGGGGATTTATCTTTGCTTTGGCACGTAAAAATGTTTCTTCTCTGCTCTTAGGGCATATTACTCTCAACCTAATGTGGCTTGGCAGCCTTCTTGCTTAGATTATTACAAAATAAATCAGAACTCTTGGTCAGGGCGGGCAGGCCTGAGATGACAAAAACAGTTCACACTTGTTTAACATGGTTTAGATGTTTTGTTGCTGGTTCAACATGCCCAACCAGCTCTTAACCAACATGGTCTACAAGCAAGAAACCAGGACCACTAGCAGATAGTCCAAAGTTTCTCCATCTAGACCAGCTTGGACCAGCTAGAAGCCAGCAGGGCTGGTTATTTTGACTTGTTTGCCCATGAGCTCAAACCAGATCAAAAGCAAATGGATCCCAGCAGAACCCACACAAACAGACTTGTGTTTGTCTCTTGGCCACAAAGACGAGGCTGATGTCAGAACGGTTTGTTTACATTTAGTCAGCTAACAATGAACAGTTTTTTTTGCAGTAAGACCTTGTGATGGAGTAAAAATACCCATTGAATATGTATTTGAGTACTTGTCAAACCCAGACAACATCAGTCAATAAGGCAACATGAATGATTAGTTGCTTTAGGTATCATAAACATTTTACAGCATTTATTGAAGTTAATTTATAAATATACTATTATTCATTGCTCGTTCATGATGTATTAATTAATACTAACACAGAAGAAACAGGAAAACACAGATTATCCGATTTACTCAACCACATTATTTGTGATCTATACAATATTATTATTTTTCTTTTAAACTTGATTTCTTGGTTTTTATGATTAATGTAATTCTCTATATGCGATCTGATAGATTAAATTATGCAGAGTGAATGTGAACCAATCAAGTACTTGAAAATTATTTTAATGTTGACAACCTGAAACTATAACTGAAAGCATGCTTTGAATGGGGCTTAAATTATAAGTAAAATTAAGTATTATTTTATCTGTTTTTTTTTTAAAGATGGGAAAAGTGTTTTATATTTCAATATGTTGGGATTTAGAACGGTTTCAATGACACTATATTCCATTGTGGTGAACAGAGGAGCTTTTGATTAGGGAGAAGATGATCTCATTGTTTAACTCAAGGAGCATTTAATACTTAGCACTTAGCATGTTTGTTAGCTAGTTAGTACAATCTTACAATTCTGTGTTGTAAAAAAACATACATGAAATTTAACAAATCAATTGTTTCAGGCAACCAAATAAAATTATTTGTAGACTATTTAATTAGATTACTTAAAGGGGTCATATGATGCTGCTAAAAAGAACATTGTGTATTTGGTGTAATGAAATGTGTTTATGCGGTTTAAGGTTAAATAAAACACATTATTTTCCACATACTCTACATTATTGTTTCTCCTCTATGCCCCGCCTTTCTGAAACGCGTCGATTTTTACAAAGCTCATCGGTCTGAAAAGCGAGGTGTGCTCTGATTGGCCAGCTATCCAGTGCGTTGTGATTGTCTGAATACCTCAAGCGTGTGACGGAAATGTTACGCCCCTCACCATACTGTGAGAATGCCCTGTCCGGCCGGAGCCATGAGACAAAAACATGAAAACCCATTACAAACGAGGCATTCGTTGCATCCAGTGGGGACATAATTACTGATTACAATGACTTATACTGTATTTTTACACGTTGCGTATCGCGCTGCGTAAACATGTCTGCATTTGTGATCGGAGAAATGACAAACAACAAGCGCTACTCTACACTGCTCAAAACTCGAGTTTGAATCATCAGTTGCAAATCCTTTAAATATGAAAACGTACTTACAGGCTGTGAGTCAGAACAGCCGGCATTGTAGTCTACTCTCCCAGGATCAGGAAACAGTCCTCCATAAAATGCACTGCACACTGTTCTGGAACAGTGTTGTAAATACAACTTAACCACTGATTTCTAGTCGTGTCTACAGCATACTACAGCGAGAATCAAAGTTACGCCTTCTTTCTTTGCGTGAATTATTTGGGCGGCGTTATGCAAATCTTCCCACATAATGACGTAGACATGTGGGGGCGTGTTAGAACGAGCCGTTTTAGGAGGGCGTGGACGAGTCTTAACTTTTATAAAGAATATCGTTTTGGATTTGAGACTTTAGTCTTTGCAACTTTAGGGATCTTATCTATTCACGTACAGCTTGTAACACCCCAAAGAGAAAGGAAAAATTTTAATCGCATCATATGACCCCTTTAAAAAGAACTTTATTCCATGATGCTGAAAATAGCGTGATCAAATTCTGTTTGTTCAACTTCATTGATTCACATGGAACTGATGTATCTGAATAAATCACGCACATTAAACATTGTAAAAAATTATTTTCGAAGTTAGAAACAAAACTACAGTTTTACAAGAAATACTATTTCAGTCTTTCTATTTCAAAACTTCACATTTAATTCAATGTGTTGCTTCTTTGTAATTATCTGTAATATTCACTAGAATTTCTGAGAGAAAATAGTTTCAAAGGAAATCCTACACCAATTTTTTTTTCAGTGACCTTTATATATAGGGTATATGCATAAGAAACATATGCATGCAAGTTTGCTCTTTGTAAGATGTATGACAGAGTTTAATATACAAATTCTGAATAAAATCCACAAAATGTAAATGCCTGTGAAGATCGGTTGCTAAGTGCTGGGGTTTTTCTATGCAGTGCTGTAGACCCTTTTAGAGCCTTGAGGTCATGCCATCCTCGCATTGGCTGATTTAAACAATCACTTCCTGTCTCATACAGGTGTTGTTCAGATATAATAGAGTTCATGCCATCTTAATTTTCTCTACTAACTTGCCGACTCATTGGCCCAGCAGTGAATAACCACTTCTCTGAACTGAGAGCTCTCAAAATCAATCCTTTGCCCCATGCCATCCCTTGAGGCCCTCAGCCAGTTTTCACAGCACTGAGAGACAGCACTGATCACCATCATCAACATAATTAGCCTTCATATCAAACACAGATCATAAGAGAGCAATTATTGTGGCTGCCATTTCAAAATGAGCTTCACAGGTTTGATTTGGAGAGGGGAGAGTTTCAGACTCCGATTTCTCTAATTGAACCCCAACTGACTTTCAAGACTTATTCAGAGTTTAGCCAAGTTAAGCTTATGGATGAACTAGATAAAGCATTGCAAAATGTATCAAAAGAACAATTAAAGAAATAAAAACACTTTCATCTAAAATAATTAAAATTTTGTAATTATTTGCTCCTGTTGTGCAAACCCTGTGTAACTTTCTTTCTTCTGCAGAACACACAACACTAGTTAATGTTTTTGTGAGTGAATTATTCACATCAGTTTTATAAACGGGATCAGCTCATGTCCATTTTGATCATGAGGAATGCACTGTCACTTTAATTCAGTGAAAAAATAAACAAAATATAAAGAGTGCACCAAAATAGTGGCAACACTGCTGCTTCTGTTCTGCTACACAATCCTCACATTTCCTAACATGGGCTGCTTACACTCTGTGAAATGGGAATAAGTCAAGCAAAATGCTAAATCCTTTTAAAGGAATATTCCAATTTTATTACAAGTTACGTTCAACTACTTTTGTGGCATAATTAAAATGATTTTGACTTATCTCTAGTTTTCATTAAAAAAAAAAGAAGAAGAAAAAAAAGTTAAGATTAGACACTTACAATGGAAGTTTTCTGAAGATTTAAACAAAAACTAAAAACGATATATGAAGCTCAATTTATAAATGCACCCACATTCATTACTCTGTCAAAATATATTGTATGTATTATTTGAGCTGTAAACACAGTCGCTTTTTACTAATTTTATAGTTACGGTTTCTTGGCAACAAAGCCGTAAAACTGTATTTCACACGGAAATGCATAAAAATGGCACAAACAATATTGCTTTTATTACAACTGAAAACATGCTATCAACACAGTGAGAATTTTCATTTTTACAGACTGGCCCTATTCACTTACACTGTAAGTGCATCACTGAAACCCAGATTATTGGCCTTTTTTTAAGAAAATGACAATTCAATGTTAAAGTTTGTTGTAATCAATATTGTGCCAAAAAAGCTGCCAATTAAGCTGAACATGCATTGAACTCACATGAATCTCCTGTTCTGTTATTTTGACAAATCAATCCCTATATCCGAATGTTTCTCCTAGGCCGAAAACAGCATGTGAATTAAGTGGTATGTCCAAAAATTACAGTATTGGTAAAACAGTAGATGAGAAGTAGCAAGATAACCTACTACTGTACATCCGGTGAGATTCTGAAGCACAGACGGACACTTCACTATCCTTTACTTTAGGATCTACTTGGACGGTATGTGATTTTGAATGCAGTTAATGTTATGGGATTTGGGAGATCTGATCTGACTCTTAAGACTCTACTGTCTTGATCTGATAGTAGAAGACAAAGTATTGGTCAATTTATGTGTAAGGTGTTTTTGGATAAACCGATATACTCGAAATACGGTGAAAACGGTCTCATTTAAAAACGAATGCTGCAATAAATTCAGTATTTTCTCTGACCTATTTGTGCAGTCTGATTCTACGACTGACAGGTTTGGGTCTGGCTCTTTGTGTCACCATGACTCTTGGAAATTGCTCAGGTGGAAACTAATGTGAACTTTATGAGGTGACAAAGAGACAAAATCACTTTCTCGTCCAAAGATGAAGCTCTGAAAATATTTCTTTCATTAGTGACCTCAACAGATCTTCCACCTCTGGAGACAGAACCAGCTTTATAAGTGGCTTATAAGGTTTGACGTCTGTTATGACAGTTTTTTTTCTCATAACAGTGAGAAGGATCTTTCTCTTTGGAGGAAACACAGAGTGAGTTTGGCCGTGCTCTAAGAGGGAGGTTAACACACACCGACAGCAGTGTAAGACAGTCAGCAGTCTGAGTTTGAGTAAGACTCACCGATGAAGCCCAGCTGGGAGAATTCGAGAATCATCCACTCCTCTGACGGCTGCTGCAGGGCGAAATTCTTCATTGTGGTGAAGTAATTTGGCCGTGCTACAATGTCATCCTCTAGCTGTGTGAGAGAGAGAGACAATGCTGAAGGAAGACTAGCAGCTGTAAAGTGGATCCGAATCATTTGCATTCGCCAACAAGTTCAATTATTTTTCTGGGTAACTAAGGCTAAATGATTTAAAGGTGTGCCATCTTCCAGAAGTTAATATACTTTCTTTGATCCCATCTTAACGCAGAGACGACTGCAAGTAAACTCTTCGATGATTGACTTCCTGAAGAGTGTAAAGGCCTGCTCAGAAAAACACAAATGTTCGTGTGATAAGTCGGTCCAACTTTCACAAGCGATTTCTCTGTTCAACAAAAATCCACGGTCACACTAGACTTTGAGCATGCAAAATTTCTCAGACGTTGCAATGGTCATCATGATATGACGTCACGCTCTGTAGCGTCTTTTTAAAAACTTAAATTCAACACATAACAAAGAATAATAAATCTAAAATGTAAAAACATACAATCTACTCCTCCTTCCTGAAGCGCTGCAGGTTTAAATGGATGTTCTTCGAATTTAGCTACGAGGTCATGCCGTGATGTATGGATCTTCTGTTGGTCACACATCTTCACATGATATGAATTCACGGGTCAGAGTTCACCAAGCTTGAACTCTTTCCACTCTCCTGCATTCGCATGTGTATGAATGGAAGTCAATGGAAGGAAAAGTGTAGTGTGACCGGCCCTTAATGCGAAAAGAGAAGGAAGGAAACCAAACTGTTTCAAATGTCGTTCAGATTTTTTCACAGTCTTGCAGGCTAATTCCAGAATCTCCTTCTGCTATTCACTGTAAAAGCAGTCTGTTCTTGAGCGCCACCAAGTCAAAGTTTTAAGTAACAACATTTCTGGATATGAAAAAAAGTACCACTCTTATTGGTTGGCCACTTTTTTTGTCTGCAGTGCAATGGAAAAAAGATTGGAACAGCTCACATTGACGTCATTAAATAAAACTATTTCGTTACTTGATATAAAATAAATGTTAATAAAAATAAAATAAAATATAAAAAACTTCATCTTCATCTCTTTTGTTTTAGTCTGAATAGATGCATTAACAGCCTTTCATTAAAATTAAAATGTTTATCACACAGAAGTTTTGCACAGAACAAGTCAAATTTATTTCTATAGTGCTTTTCACCATACACGTTCATTTAAAGAGGTGAACACACAGTGCTTAGTGATGCTTTCAGATTGGATAAACCTGGAAACCTCATTTTCTTTCTGTCATTGTCATTTTCTTTCTATTCCTTCTGGTGTCGTGAGTTGTGTGGAAAGTAAACACTATGTTTAAATCTCACGCACTGTGCTTTTCATGGCTGTCACTTTTTGAAAGACTGGTGGAGCACATTTTCTTTTCTTTAAACACCCATGTTGAGTGAGCTTAATGCATGTGATGGAAGAACTAAGCAAAAAAAACAAAAAACAAACAAACTCAAGGTGGATTGCCATATGAAAAGCCATACACATCACAGTCTAAAGTGAATGCATGATTGTGAAAAAAGGGAAAAGACGTAGTCATATGTTAGTTGTATCTAAACGCCCACAAAAAACTGATCATAAAAGAACATGCAACAAAAGAAGTGCTAAAGTGGCCTTTAAGATCAGCTTATCTTTTATTTTCATCTGAAAGCCATTTTTCAAAGTTCTCATAAAAAAAGACAAGTCAGGGTTTATTTTGACCAACTGACAGCACATTATCACTTGCATCAGTGCATGCAAAAACATTGTGGAACCAGCTGAGTTCATAGACCCATTCACTCAAACCCAGTTGTGTCCAGTTCTAATGTGCAGTTTGGTCATTATCTTCATTTAATCTTACCTGTATGTAATAGGTCCCTTTAGTCTGGGCATACATCATCAGGAAGCAGTAATCCAGGTTCTGCTTTGTTCGCCATCTGCAAAAACAATCAGCATGTGCTTTAAAAAGAATAGTATACAGCCACACATACACAAACCAACAGGTTGAAGATAATAAAAAATAGAAACCGAGACCTGCTTTTTAAAGATAAGAGGACAGTGAGTGATGGATTATTTGTTGCAGCTGCTGTTTATCCAGCTTTCACAGTGTATATGGATGTTATTTTAAAGTACCAAGCTTAAAAAGTGACCGGAAAAAAAAATCATTTCAATTAAAATATTGCACATCATGACATATCACACCAGGCTTGATGTCAATTGTCTTTGTTTCTTGCACGTCTCATCACTGATGTCAAACATACTGTGATGAGTCTTGATGTGTGACATGGGAGCTGAATGACATTTTGCGAGGTACAACGCAAGTGAACATTCAAGCCATTGGTAGGGACAATGAAGAACAAAAAAAGGCATTTCCCAATCAGTGGGCATTTTTAAGCCACTTTACCTGATTTTTTAAAATTGGAGTTGGCCGTTCCCAAGTGCAAGACAGGTTATTATACGAAATCACCAGTAGCTTAATGTGCTAGAAAGTGACTTGTGGTTTATGGAAATTCCCAGGTTGATATCTATATCAAAAATGAAATAACTATAGCAACACTAAATGAATCTGCGTTTTTGTATGAATCTGGTGTTTTGATCATTTAGATCAAATCGGTTGAATGAATGATGATTCACTTATGAAGACAGTGATGCCACCTACAGGCATTTTTTTATAAGTAAAAGTATAATTATAAAGAATATAAATAAAAGTCATAGCTATGCTGTATAAAGTGCACAAAGTCGAAGGTTTATAAAAAGTCTTTAATCCAACACACAGGCTAGCATAAACGCAGACGTTAACGAGACCAGACAAACTAGGACTGAATACACAGTAGCTTAAATACACAGACCGAACAAGGATAATTAACTACACACCTGAACAGAATGACACAGTTAACTCAATGAAGGGAAACGGTGCAAGAGGAAAACAAAGTCCAAACTGAATGACATGTGACAATATAACTGTAACTGCAGTGTAAAAGCAAAGAAAATATTTACATTTAAATTATATTTTGTCCAAAAGTGAATGTCACTCAAGATGACTCATGAGATGATACATGACATGAAAAAGCCTCATTGATTTTTTCCCCCTCCTATACCATGTGTTTCCGGGTTCTGTAAAAGAAAGATCTGTTTGATCCATACTGTATAGTCTAGAGTCCAGACTTATGTTTTTCAGCCGCTTTATACTATGTATCCAGCAAATATTACCTGCTGACTACAGCTAGGGTTTCTGGCATTATTTGAAGTGCAAAATGAATTACACAACAGATTTTTTGGGGGGTAATTAATCAAATCTGTTAGATATTTTCCCTATTGTCTTCATAAGCATGAATGAGTAACTATGGGACTTGATAAGACGGCTGAAAAAATGCCCATCTAGTTTTAAAAATGCACACTGAACTGGGAAACACCCATTCGGTTCAGCAGAGACCCACAGCAGATTTGGTCAGGCAGTTCAAACAAACAGAGTAAATGCTTGAAAGTAGCACAGAGACACAGTGTAAATCTTTTTAGGCAACGAAACTATTAATAGCCTACTTTGCCCATGTATATTATACTAGGATAGGAAAAAGTATTTTAAAAAATGACACGCTTGACATAAGAACTATATATAACTGTTTACAGCCTAGATGTTCTTAGTGAAAGTGTGTGTAGTGTAGTAACTGGATTTTAGCAGCACTGACCACATCAAACGTGCCGAGTGCAAACAGATGCAGTCGAATGATAAACGCACAAGCCTCTCTCTGTTTCACACAAACTTACGCACATACAAATTCAGTGTTTTGATAAGCTGCCCTACTTTCTGTGATACCCTTCAGGAAGGAAATGATCTGTTAGAGACATCATATGTGTACATTTACATACATTTACGTCAGAGTTTCAACAACACACACACGCACACACACACACCTTTTCAACAACACACACACACACCTTTTCAACAATACACGCACACACACAGAAAACTACTGCCATTTTTTGAATATAAAAAAAAAACAGTTTAATATGTTTTTAAAGCTATTCTGTTCTCTAGGACACAGAGAGTGTCCAGATAAAACATGTTTATGTTGTAGTACCCATGTCATTTTACACATTTGTGTCCTCATAAACCATATACTGTATACCAGAACACACACACACACACGGTAATATTGCGATAAGAACATTAACCCTCTGGCATCTTTTGGACAAAAACCCTTTCTGTGTCTCTGCACATCTCCAGCATGGAAGTGTGCTAAAGGAAGTAGCCATCAGAGTGTAAGAAAGACCAACATTCAGTTCCAGCTTTGATGCATTTGAAAACAAAGCTCTTGTTTGCTGCAAAGATGCAAACCCAACAGGGGTAAAAAGGTGACAAAGATCTGGCATACCCCCGGGAAGGAAATTTGTGAAATATCAGCTTTAAAATGTGGATATACAGTAGCATGATGATATAGGGAAAAACTCACCATTATTATTATTATTATTAATACATTTTCTTTATTTAATTGAATTGTAAATAAATAAAGAAAGAAACAATAAAGAAGTATATTAGCAAAGTAAAAAGATACCATTGCACAGTAAAATAAAAGAGTATTTAATAATAATAATTTTATTTTACTGAACAAAATTACAATACTAATATTCACGTCTGTCTTAATTTCCTCATGTTCAAATGTTAAGAAAACTTAAAGCTTCTCTTTTGCTGACAACTGATTTATAAACGACTGATTTGATGATTTGAAAAAGATTGATTTGATGATTTCTATAAAATGATTTGAACAATAATAAAAAGCACAACATTTAACTTTTAAATCTTAGAGGTTAAACAATTTATAGAAAGAAAGAAAGACAGACAGACAGACAGACAGACAGACGGAGACAGACAGACCGACCGACAGACAGACAGACACAGACAGAGACAGACAGATACTGTAGATCCATATGCTGTTTTTAGTGCCCTGTTGGATAAACCTATATGCACCCTATTTGGAAAAAAGTGTGAAATCCAGACATCGGCACTATCCCTGAAATACAGACGACAGCTTTTCTCTTTTTCCTGGATGTGTGAGATGGTCAACAATTTGACCAGGGTCTCTCGAGGATACATCTGTCCAACTTTGTCAAATCGCACACTGGACACACACAAACTCAAGTGCAGTCACGCAATGTCAGATTAAAACACACTAAGACTCGTAAACTCATTTTGGTTGTTTACAGACCGGTCTAAATCTTTAACCTCTAAAAGACTGAATTTCATTTAATGTAATGAAAATTAAAGGAGTTTGATTCAATATGTGTAAAATAGAGAATCACACTCATGCCACCAAACCCTGAACCCAAATGCTGAGGCATCTGAATAAACACATGCAGTTTGTCCACATGTGGAACAACTGAAGAATTAATCTTCTAAGTATAAACACCTCCTGGCCAACAGTAGATAAAAAAAAAAACATGAATATTTTAACTACTACACTGAACAAACCGAACAAAAACACATTACTAGAAAGAAACAGATCTGGTCTAAAATGGATTTGTATTTTTCTTGGCTGATTGGTTATTGAATTGTGTGTCTGCTTGATTGGTGATGGATTTATCTGCCTGTCTGATCCAGCACTGATCTGTTCATCAGCGTGCTCTGGGTTGAACTGGATGGCCTGATGAGATCCGACAGGCTTTGAGCACAAACAGACGTTAATGAACATATTTACCTGCATCACTGTACTGACTGCTTGTTTTAGGAGAATGTGATAAGAATGTGTCTGTCCAGAACTGAGCACTGCTGTTTTACCTTAAAGAGAGGTGTGACTGCGAAACTGATGAAAATGAGGTTGTGCAGAACATTTTCATTTGGGAATATGTTTGTTCTTAGTGCGAGTTTCTCAGCAATCATGCAAACGGCTGAACTCATGGTACTGTAACTATACTAAGATCCTCCAATGATTTTCACAAATGTATTCCCAAACTTTTTTTCAGCCAAACCCCTTAGACATAAAAATATTTACGTGAAGCCCCCCTGAGATTTTAATTTAACATTTCGAAAATTTAGATAACACACTGCCATGTTTACAGTTCGCTAAGTAGGTTAATAGTTACATGACATACAACTAAATATATTTCTGTCATGAAAACTCTCTGAGAGTTTTAGCATGGTAATATACATGGCAATGTGTCTGGTCTTGACTGTTTTTTTTCAAGGCATTGTTAGATGCCAGTGTTTCATAGTTCATACTGTCATAGTTATGCAAAGATTTGATTTCAAAAATCGTATCTTAGCCATTAAACTATATCTTATGATGTTAAATTTGTATTTAACCTCAAAAAGATCTCATGGTAAAAAGAGGTGCTAAAGTCCAATTTTGAGGTTGCTGTGTTGTACAATTAAATGATTATAATCTTAATTCAAGTAAAGTCTGACAGTAATCAGTCTTGAGTCCTACTGTAAGGTTAACCCTGCCTGCTTTAAATGTTTCAAAATAATTAACAGTTGAAAACATTACACATTTAGAAAACTAATAAAATGTAATCAGTTACATTACTTTAATAAAGCAATTGAAATAGTTACACTACTTATTACATTTTAAACAGGGTAACTTGTAATTTGTAACCTATTACATTTCCAAAGTAACCTTCCCAACACTGATTACAATTGTAGTTTAAAATAAAACTATACATTTGATAATAATACAAGTTACAACTTTAATATTTATGTATTCAATTCTTAAATACATTTCTTTTTGCAAAATATTGGTAAAATACTGTAAACGTCTGTTCACAAAATGTTGGAATTGGTGAATTTGAGTATTGTAAATTAAGCCCATGCAGAGACAAACTTTGCTGCATTTATTGTGAACTGAGCCACTATGAGACGCTGAAAGCACTGGATCATGAGCTGCTCAGGTGTAAATGAACAGCGTAGCGCTTCAATCTAAAACATGCATCAGATCAGAATATACAGTTTCACATTCAGCATTCATTTTGACAGTCGCACTAAACTATATCTGGACTATTGTGCAGCCCCATTTATTTTTATCATTAGTTATTAGATTTTCCTCAACTCATGAACCCCCTGTAGTTCCCTGACAAACCCCCATTTGGAAAACCCTTGAATTTCTGACAGGAGTGAAAATGAGGCTGTGAGGGACAGAAGTGCCATGTGTTCGATGGGTTGTACTGAAACATGCCAACTGTTCACCCGATGAAACACCTTTCCAAAAAAACTTTCAGCAGACAAACATTTCAGAATTAAGAAATTTGATCAAATTACCACATCTTTGAATTTAGCATGCACAGTGGCACTGTAAGAGTGTGTGTGAGACGCTTGATTCAGCACTGATGTGACAGGCTGCAGATAAGCAGTGTGTGTGTGTGTGTGTGTGTGTGTGTATACAGTGACATTCTTTGGTTTAGTTGTGCGTTTGTGTTAATTAAACTGAACTGACAGAACAGAGATGCTGGAAGTGTGTGTGTGTGTGCACTCATGAATAAGGCATAAAGAAGCCTGATCCCGGGGGAACACGCGCACACACAAAAAGCTCATTTAAGTTCAGGCAGAACTTTTTGCTCAGCAGAGAGCGCTTTCATAAGACCTGAAACTCTAGTACATGAACACAGATGCCTCTAGCTTTCTCAATTTCACACATTTAGCGTTGCAAAATGGATCTGTACACGATTCTTAACGCAAGTTACTTGCAGAATCGAAAGCAGTGAATGTAATCTGCATTTCTGTACATGTGATCACTGTGTGTGCAAATAGTTATGTTTTTCATACCGAGTATGTGAGATGCTAATCGCTGAGGGGGGCAGTTGTAGCTCAGCGTTCACACTGATCATTCATGGCTAATTGCAACAAAACACACACACACACACACTGATGGGAAGAGGAGGGTTTGTGTTCAGCAGTCATATTACCTGACCCGCTCTTTAGGGTCACCAAACGACTCTTTGAGGTGAGAGAAGTCTGGATAGAAATGGATGGAGGGAGAGATGATCTCCAACAGCCCAGACTGAATCTCCACTGGAAACCTGAAACACATGCAGAGGGTTGGGCTACTGTAAGTATGTTAACACAACTAAAGCATCATTTACATTCACATCATTCTGTTTGACTTTATTTCTTTTGTAAAACATAGAAGATGTGTAGTAAAATGTCCAAGCTCCTCTTTCCATACACTGAAAGTGAATGTGGACTGGTGCGGTCAAGTTTTGAATATGCAGAATGACATTTGAGAGGACATTTTCAGCAAATTATGACTTAAATTTGAGTCTGTTTTTCACACAAAGCTAGGCAATGATTTCATATTTAATGGTGTTTTTCTCACTTTTGGTATCGGACAGCACTAGTATCCAGGTGAGAGTGTGTGTGTGTCTGTGATGCATCTATTCATTACATTTTTTTAAAAGTTCCTATAAGTTCAGTAAAAACATAACTCAAACTAAAATATAACTGGAAAAAAAAAATCACACACTTTAAATAGTGCTTATATCTCCTAACTTCATAAAACAGGCTGTGTGACTATGAGGAATGATTACGTCAGAGTATATGTCCCTATGCGGGTTCAAGGGACTTTATTTAAATGAAATACATATACCCCTTTCACTATTGTTCACATGCTAGTCATTATTCCCCATTTTAATTTTTAGGTGAATTATTCTTTAAAAACTTGTCATATATCACCATCTTTGTGTTTCAGATTTTAAACTACAGTCATGAGTTCATACTGTATATCATTAATTATATTAATTTAAATCTGAGCATTCAAATGCATTAATACATAAAATGTATTGCACAAATCTTAAACATTTAAAAAAGAAAAAAGAAATATAATAGAGATACTTTTATGTTTTTTTATTATTCTGAACCAGTTTTCATTTTCATTGTAATTTTAAAGTTTTGGTAGTTTTGTCTTTTGATAATTAAATTTTTTTTTTAATTTTTCGTTTTTAGTAGTTTGCTTTTTAAAAAATGCTTACATAGTTTTAATTCATTTTTTTTTCACTTTTAGTTTTAGTTATTTTAGTAAGTCAAGTTCAATGAAATTAAAATGAAAAATGCTTCCTTGGCAACAATTATTTCATTTAAATTTTTTTTTTTCAAGTGACGTTTTTTTTATGGTTTTAGTTTTAGTTCACATTAATAACCCTGTTTTGCACCCACATAACACACCCATAAGTAGATAAATACAGTAAGGGGAGAAATAAGAGCCAACAAAAGCAAAGATTTAATCAAAACACACACAGACAGCGATCCAGTATTGTAAACCTTTGCAAAAATAAAGTATATATAAAACAGTATAAGCACAAACACATGACTAATGTGGGACAAGCAGAACAAAGCAAAGGAACTCTAACACCTGGAGGATGGACTTTCCCTTCTGTTTCTTCTGCTATTGTCCTCAAAAAAACATGAGGAAAAGTCTGCAGTCACACGATCTCTGACACACACATAAACACACATGTATCCATGAAACTCAAGCAGATTATGGTCAAAACAGACGCGCACACACAAAAAGCTCATTTAAGTTCAGGCAGAACTTTTTGCTCAGCAGAGAGCGCTTTCATAAGACCTGAAACTCTAGTACATGAACACAGATGCCTCTAGCTTTCTCAATTTCACACATTTAGCGTTGCAAAATGGATCTGTACACGATTCTTAACGCAAGTTACTTGCAGAATCGAAAGCAGTGAATGTAATCTGCATTTCTGTACATGTGATCACTGTGTGTGCAAATAGTTATGTTTTTCATACCGAGTATGTGAGATGCTAATCGCTGAGGGGGGCAGTTGTAGCTCAGCGTTCACACTGATCATTCATGGCTAATTGCAACAAAACACACACACACACACACTGATGGGAAGAGGAGGGTTTGTGTTCAGCAGTCATATTACCTGACCCGCTCTTTAGGGTCACCAAACGACTCTTTGAGGTGAGAGAAGTCTGGATAGAAATGGATGGAGGGAGAGATGATCTCCAACAGCCCAGACTGAATCTCCACTGGAAACCTGAAACACATGCAGAGGGTTGGGCTACTGTAAGTATGTTAACACAACTAAAGCATCATTTACATTCACATCATTCTGTTTGACTTTATTTCTTTTGTAAAACATAGAAGATGTGTAGTAAAATGTCCAAGCTCCTCTTTCCATACACTGAAAGTGAATGTGGACTGGTGCGGTCAAGTTTTGAATATGCAGAATGACATTTGAGAGGACATTTTCAGCAAATTATGACTTAAATTTGAGTCTGTTTTTCACACAAAGCTAGGCAATGATTTCATATTTAATGGTGTTTTTCTCACTTTTGGTATCGGACAGCACTAGTATCCAGGTGAGAGTGTGTGTGTGTCTGTGATGCATCTATTCATTACATTTTTTTAAAAGTTCCTATAAGTTCAGTAAAAACATAACTCAAACTAAAATATAACTGGAAAAAAAAAATCACACACTTTAAATAGTGCTTATATCTCCTAACTTCATAAAACAGGCTGTGTGACTATGAGGAATGATTACGTCAGAGTATATGTCCCTATGCGGGTTCAAGGGACTTTATTTAAATGAAATACATATACCCCTTTCACTATTGTTCACATGCTAGTCATTATTCCCCATTTTAATTTTTAGGTGAATTATTCTTTAAAAACTTGTCATATATCACCATCTTTGTGTTTCAGATTTTAAACTACAGTCATGAGTTCATACTGTATATCATTAATTATATTAATTTAAATCTGAGCATTCAAATGCATTAATACATAAAATTTATTGCACAAATCTTAAACATTTAAAAAAGAAATATAATAGAGATACTTGTATGTTTTTTTATTATTCTGAACCAGTTTTCATTTTCATTGTAATTTTAAAGTTTTGGTAGTTTTGTCTTTTGATAATTAAATTTTTTTTTTAATTTTTCGTTTTTAGTAGTTTGCTTTTTAAAAAATGCTTACATAGTTTTAATTCATTTTTTTTTCACTTTTAGTTTTAGTTATTTTAGTAAGTCAAGTTCAATGAAATTAAAATGAAAAATGCTTCCTTGGCAACAATTATTTCATTTAAAAAATTTTTTTTCAAGTGACGTTTTTTTTATGGTTTTAGTTTTAGTTCACATTAATAACCCTGTTTTGCACCCACATAACACACCCATAAGTAGATAGATACAGTAAGGGGAGAAATAAGAGCCAACAAAAGCAAAGATTTAATCAAAACACACACAGACAGCGATCCAGTATTGTAAACCTTTGCAAAAACAAAGTATATATAAAACAGTATAAGCACAAACACATGACTAATGTGGGACAAGCAGAACAAAGCAGAGGAACTCTAACACCTGGAGGATGGACTTTCCCTTCTGTTTCTTCTGCTATTGTCCTCAAAAAAACATGAGGAAAAGTCTGCAGTCACACGATCTCTGACACACACATAAACACACATGTATCCATGAAACTCAAGCAGATTATGGTCAAAACAGTAATACAAATCTCGAGTACTTACAGGCGCTTAAGGTTGTCAGCAACACTATTTGCATATTGTTGATCCGTCTGCAAAACAAAGCAAGAATCAATGGCTTAATAAATGTTCACCTTTGGGCTAGACAAGTGTTTGTAGGAGTTTTTTGGATGAATGTTTAAGTACAATGTCGATTCTCATTTCCTGACCTTTCCTGCTAAAGAGATTATACAGTCTCTGTAGTCAAGAGAGAAACTTTAACTGTCCAATAATGGAAGCAAATGGTGATGAGCAGCTAAAGCACTTTCCACTATAAAACAGCAGATGGATTTCACTGTTCAGATTCAATTTGACGGTTCGTTCAAAATGCAACCAATGTATGCGCCGCATTCTTGAAGTTTCCATTAGTGGCGCTATAGCCGTTATTAGAATGAACAGAATTACAGTTGGTTCTTTCTGTAAGATTATTGTTTTTTTTACTTTAGGTCTTTAAACAATTTATGCATCGTGTTATCATTTAAAACTTTCTATGTAAAGATTTGCTCCAAAAGTTTGTGCCGTCATTAAATATAAGCCATTTGGATTTATATTCTGTTATCGATTACATTCAGACATTTTTAACTCAAAATTTACTTTTTTTTAAGAAATATAATCTTTATATTCATGAGTTCAATCTTTATAATAGGACAGAAAGGACCATCACAACTTCCATTTTATGTCTACTTTAAAGGGGTAGTTCATTGCGATTTCAATTTGTTTACGTTAGTTAGTGTGTAATGTTGCTGTTTGATCATAAACAATATCTGCAAAGTTACGAAGCTGAAAGTTCAATGCAAACGAAGATATCATCTTTTAAATTTCTGGCAGTTTAATGCCTACAAAAACGGCTGTTAGGGACTACAACGAGCTACTTCCCGGGTTTGTGTCATCACAAACCCTGATAAACCCCACCCTCGGGAACACTCTTCAATAATATCCTTTGCTTCTCAATCGGGCTCAAACTGATAAGCGATATTAACGACACCTTGTTTACAATACAACTGGAGCACAAATGCCGCTGAGGAGAGGGGCGGGACGTTTAGACGCACACTAGAGGCGGTTTAGCCAATCACAACACACTGGGCTAGCTAACCAATCAGAGCCCATCAGAAGGGGCTTCATAAAAACAGGAAATGATCAGTGCGTTTCTCAGAGAAGGGACAGAGCGGTGTGGAATAAAGGTAAATAATGTGAAAAATAATGCATTCTTTAAAAAACGAAGCATTAACACATGTTAGACTGCACCCCATAAACACAAGCAAGCCTAGAAAAAAAACAGTGAACCACCCCTTTAAGTGTTCAAATACTCTAGAGCTGTTTTGAGGCACTATTAATGTACCCTATTGTGTCAAATGGAGCCAGAACAGTAAAACTCAAGGACAGCGTACAAGGGCATAATGTGAGGATCCAGACACTGTGTCAGTGTTCATGACCTGCCGGACTCATCAAATCCTCATTATTTCCCACAGATCTCTAATGACTAAGTCATTGTTTTCTAAACTATCAGAGTGACTCCTGAGACACAGGGAAGAGAACGAGTGATAGATGATGAGGAAACACCTGCAGCAACTTTGGCCAAACCTTTCGATTCCAGAGAAATGGGAATTGCTGCTTTTTCAGACAAATAGGAAGTTTGGGGTTTATAACTTAGATGAAAAACTCTGACCCATTTAGTGTCACGTCAGCTCCTCTTCATAACGGTTCGATCCAGAGATGTTCACAAGTCTTTAACTTGGAGTCTGAGTCAAGTCTAAAGTCTTTGGTCACGAGTCCGAGTTGAGTCTCAAGTCATTTAATGGCTCACTAAAAAAATCCTTGTATTCCAACATGTATTGAAATCTTCCTATTTACGAAGTTGTTTTATATAGGCTATAGACAAAATATATGATCTATGATCTGCTTTGTAAAAAAAAAAAAAAAGAGGTGTTAAGATGTAAGGTTAATGTACAGCCTGTTACCAATATTTTAATCCATTACCATGTTCAAAACAGTTTTCTGTAATCAAATTCTATAATAAGAGAATGATCTACCATGACACAAAAGGAAATATTTGACACAGATATTACAAAACCATACAAATAAATATTTCTTTATGATATAAGTCAGGGGTATTCAATTCCAAGAGTTCCAAAAGTTCCAAGAGGCGCAGCCTCTATATTTCTTCCAAGCAAAGGTCTGGACAAAAAAAAAATCAATAAAATAAAAAAAATCAATACATTTTTACATGTATTGTATTTTTACATTTAGATACATGCGAGGCCATGTGACAAAAAAATAGGACATCCTATTCATAGGAATCCCATCCATAGGAAATCCTCAGGACATCCACAATGGTGCTGCTATGGGTGTTTTGAGTGGTTTTCAGATTGTTGTTATTCGGGTGCTAAAGTGTTCAGAGAGGATTTTTAGTGTGTTGCCATCTGGTTGCTAGAGTGCTCAGAATGGTTTTAATGAAGCTTGCTGGTGTTCAGTATCAGAGTGTTCAGAGTGCTTTTTTTGGCATATTGTTTTTCAGCTGCTAAAGTGTTCTGAGTGTTTTTAGCATGTTGCTATCTGGTTGCTGGAGTGCTTGGAGTGTATTTAGCACTGCTGATGATGCTATATAGCATGTTCTAGGTGGCTGCTTACCGGCTCAAGTCAAAAGAGGCCACACCCAAAATGCAAAGGTGTACGATCTAATACTTAGAGTCGGGGTTATGAGTGTAATGCCTGGACAAATCAGACACACAATTATTTGTTATATTTAAAAATATAATTCCTAACACCGCTCACTCAACCAACAAGCCAACTATGAGGGTCTATGTGTCACAGTCTTCAGCTGGTGTGCCCAGGACAGCCACCAGAGGGGACTCCTGTGTCTATTTGTGAGCACATGGCTTGTCATTGTTTTTGTTGGTGCCAGTCTATTGTCTGACCCCGCCCTTCTTGTTCCCATTATTGTTTCAGTTACTCCTCCTGTGTCTCCCTCGTTACCCTCCTCGTTTGTCTCCCTATTTATTCTCCTTGTGTTTGCAGTCCTGTGCTTCTTTGTTGTCGTATGTGGTCGGATGTGTCTGTGTGTTCCTGGTTTGGGCCTGCTCTACCTGTTCTTGTCCTGGCCTTCCCTTGCCTTGCCATGCTGTGCCCTGTTCTGGCCTTCCTGCCTGTTTTCCCCCTCAGGGTGGTTTTTATTAGTTTTGTTTATATATTTTTTACTATTAATATAGAGCCCATTTCCTGCATCTTTGAGTCCTTGCCTCATCTCTCTACCCCGACCGTGACACTATGGACCCTTCCATCGAATTTCAAATAACCCCAAAAGGACAGAACAGACCTCTGGTTACCACAGTAACTAGCTAAACTTTACAACTCAATGGTATTCAGAGAGTTTCACGTTGAACAGACACATACTGACCATAGAAAACTGTCTTTCATTAATTCATAGACAAACCTTTCTGTGAATGAACATGCATATCCCCAGGTCATTGTGTGTATTATTACTGTTCTTGTATATTGCCTTATGTATTGTATACTGTTTTATGCATGCTTTATGACAGAATCCCTAGTTATTATAACCTCACATATGCCATGTTTGGTATCTATGAGTTTGTATTTTAATGATCTAAATGAGAGTGTATATTATATGTTGTTACCCATGCAACATATTAGTGTTCTAAGAATATTTAATAGTTTTGATATCAGCACCCAATCCATTACATATGCAAAACACCATGCTCGAAGACAAAGAGTCATAAACTTCCCTCCGAAAGTTTAAGTTACCATTGGCTCACCGACCCCCTGGAGGAGTGATCTCCACAGAAGTTAAAACGCCTCACATTGGTGACCTCTCTCTTCTGTATTCTTGCGTGCTCTTACATCCTTGCCTCTCGGACATCCAGTCCGACCGCGACCCATGGGGCCTCCCCCGCACCGACAGGACATCAAAGTTGCAGCAAGCCATGTCTTCACTTTCCATCTGAGAGAAAACTCTCCCAATCACCACCGAGTCAGAGTAACATCTTTGGATTTCATCATTCTTCAAACCCAGAAGAACGTGATCGCAATTCCAACACCACCAAACCTTCAAACCAGCAAGGCTTTCATCCGAGACTGCATCCGGACGCTCGTTGAACAGCCAAGGCAATGCAAGTATTGTACATTTAACTAAACGAAACAGAGGTTTAGTATAAGCTGCAGACCCCGTTATAAAACGGCGCTGATGGTTTCACTCAGGTGGTTAACTGACTCATTTTCCATAGCTGCATTCTCTAGTTTCTCTTCATTCATCCACTTTAACTACCCTTTATGTATGAGTGTGCGTGTATGTTTGTTAGACTAGTTTTTTATGTGTTTAGTTAATAAAACCTTTGTGCACAAATTACATGAGTTGAATTACAGTTTCAGATTCAGTCACTGCTTGTAGATAATCCCTTTAACGATTCCTGATCTTGTTACACGCTCTAATGCAGGGGTCTCCAACCTTTTTTACACCACGGACCGGTTATATTTTGAAAATATTCTCATGGACCAGCTGGAGTGGGGTTTATTTATATATATATATATATATATATATATATATATATATATATATATATATATATAGTGGGGCCAAAAAGAATTTAGTCACC